AGAGTTAGTGATTTGCGTCTAATACGATAGTTTTATATAATGAAGCGGAACAATTAAGACTCGAAGTTTAGATACTAAGAGTTATTTATTTATTTATTTATTTAAAGGAAAAACTATTTCACTCTATATATTTAATCTTAGCAAAATATAGTACTATAAATTCTAACTATTCTACTTATTTCAAAAATCACCCAAATACCAGGTTATTGCAGTATTTTTGGAAAAGTTGATCTTGCCTTTTACAACATACAGTATTAAACTTAGAAGTGAATCCTAAGGGTATTCTCAAGCATTGAAACAATTCCTGTACGTACGTAACAATTTCTTTCTAGAAATGTGAATTTAAAAGTTTAGCATATAAAATAACTCTATGGGAAAAATTTGCAACTTTAAATGGCACAGTGCATAATCATTTTTTAACACTCAGGTCATTTTGTTTTTTTATTGAAGGTAGCATTTGAAAACAGCCTAAATTAGACCTATTGTATTTCGAAGTTAGAATGTACGTATATATAGACAAATGTAATACTGTAATATAGTCACAGTATGATGTATTGAAATAATATGCATGTTGTTTTTAAAGATAGTTCTTATCTTCTTTTGGATAGCTGTAATTCCTTCAAAAATTTATAATAACCTAATTCCTGATTAAAATCCTGTTACTCTTATACTATATCTCAAATTTGCAAGTGACTCTAGTTATACGTATATAAGTATATACAAAATATTGTAAATATAAGAAAGGATACTGGTATCTTGTTAAGACATAGAAGCAAATCTGCATCCATATATTAGTCTGCTCTCCCAATAGTGATACATAATGTAGTAGTATTATAAAGTTATTATGTATACATATATATGTATGTATATATGGTGATCATTTACTGTGCCACTGTATCCTGTTTAGAGTATCTTTTCTGGCACACCAAACATTGTGAACTAGTGTTTAAATATCTCAACAATTGACATAAAATTTTTTAATATACAGTAATGTAAATCAAGAATAATACTTATTGGATGCTGGCATTTAATATACCTCATTTTGGCCTTGATTCAAGCTCTTAATGCTTTATTTTGTATATATATATTTATATTACTGTAATTTAATATAAAGTTTATAACCTGTATATATTTTAAATATTCGCTATGTATCAAATTTTTAGTTGGCCTCTGTTTAATATTCTTACATATCTTCAGGTTATTTTTTAAAAAACTTGTACTGTATTTTTTTTTTAAAAAAAAAAACAATGTCACAACAACCAACTATTGATACTTTAAAGCCCGTTTACAATTTGATTGAATTAGGATTAGATGATTATGAAGAAAATGAACTTGTTCTTGATACTATTCATGATTTAAAATTATTTTTTGAGAATTCCAATAATTGTACTTGCCGTCGAACTCCAAAACAAAGAGATCTTAGAACTTGCTTTGAAAAAGTAGGATTTAAACACTTTTATGAAAGACATTTTGAGTTAAAAGCTTTAGAAGCACAAGAACGTGAACTTTTTATAAAATCGCAATTATTGTCATTTGAAATTACTAATGAAAAATCAGATAATAAAACATCTGAAAAACATACATATAAATTTAATTATAACAATTCCTTACCGCTTTGTAAGCCTGCATACTTAAAATTGTGTGGAATGAATAGTTACTTACTTTTTACCTTACAAACTCATTTACAATTAAATAGATTGACTGAACGTGTTTACAGAAATACTAGACGTGTGGCTAAAACAGAATCGAGAGTTTTTTTAGATTTTAATATAACATTCCCAATTAAGCAATTTTTAATACAATATGGAACAATTTACAAACTTTCTTCTCCATTACAGCATCAAGATGATTCAGATGTTTTTATTTATCTTCCAACTGGTTAAACTTACACTTCAGTCTATAATGAATTTCAAAAAAACTTTTATCTTACTCATGACCAATCAGAAAAAATAATTTTTTATTTTACCTTTAGAAAATTATGGTACGAAATGGTTTCTAATCTTCGATTTCAGTCATATACAAGCGATTTTTGTAAAGTTTGCACTTCTTATAAAGCAAAACTATCAGTTGCAAAGCAAGATATTGATGAATATAATAAAGTTCAAGTTGAATATGATGAACATAAAAAAGCTGCAGATCTT